ATGGTCTCGCTGGCTTGAAGCAAGAAAACGTAGAAAAACACTGGGCAGTGCCAGCTCGGAACCCATCCGTCATGTTGGCATACAACACATCTGCGGACAATGCAACTACTACTGCGTCAGAGCCCACACCTTGTGCCGGTGTTTCGCACCTGGGTCCGGCACCACGAGGGTCTGGTATGGTGTAGCCATAGTGTTCGGGTTGGGTAGCGTTGTAGCAGGGGCTGCTGTAGACACGCGTAGCGAGCATGAAGCACCGGAGTCTGCAATAAACGCAGGGGCACGTGTTGCACCGGATTGTGCAATAGATGGAACCTCTGAGAAGCATCCTGGCGATGACGACGGCAGTCTTCCGGTGCCTCTGGTGTACTGTCATTTTAGAATTATTTGGGAATGCATAGGGGCACGTAGACCCAGACCATGTGCAAATCGGAGTACGGAAAATACGGAAGCACATGAAGCGTCGGGTTGTGCAATAAAACGCCTCTGAGCTGCAGGTTGGAATCTCTTGGACATTCCACGGCAGCCCGTGGCTACCCCCAACAAACCGTACTGCAAGTACAACTCCGGAGCATCCTCACGAGCGTGGATTTCTACAACAACTTCACGCTGCCTCAGAAGTATCCCGATTCATTGCAGAATGCACAGGGACACCCCTGTGGAAGTGTACAGGGGCACATGAAGCACCGGATTCTGCAATAAACGAGCCTCATGGGATGCCACGGCAGCTTCACAGTGTTTCCCGTGTATTGTGTAATTTATTGCAAAATACATACAAGCACGTAAACCCAAACCCTGCGCAGATCGAAGTACGGCCGCAACCGGGGCACCGGCAGCGGCAATAAAATCTTTGATCAGCATCCTGAAGATTCCACGGCTGTCCACCCTAGGAACCCCATGGGAACCCTGCATGTCCTGCCTTCTCCTAGAACCTGAGCAGCGCTGAGCAACACTTGTGAAAACGTGCATTCCTGCATCCAGCATTCTCTGGTCCGCACGTCATGACGCCCTGTCACTGTGTACCCACGCCGGACGGATGCAAGAGATGGTGGGACCCTAACTTGCTAACAAGCAGCGCTTGCATCCTTTTGCGGTTGGGTGCGCTTGGGGTGCGCTTGTAATGCGCTTGGCTAACTTGTGTAGGGAACGAGCGATGCAGCTTATTTGTGCACGGCAGGCGGATGCAGCCTCAATCTGCATTCTTCCACAAAAGCCCCACTGCGTTCGTCCCAGGCCCCCAAAACGCAAACAGGTCTCCACACGGCACAAACGCCCCACTGCGTTCGTCCAGGCTTGAAAGAATACGCAACCATGCAGGTCTCCTGCTTAGAACTCCGGCTGCGTTCTTCCAGGCCCCAGTGCGTTCTTCCAGGCCGCCAAAAAAGCGCACGGGTCTCCACACATCTCCACACTGCACAAAGGCCCCAGTGCGTTCTTCCAGGCCCCCAAGACGCAAACAGGTTTCCACACATCTCCACACTACACAATAGGCCCCCGTGTGTTCTTCCAGGCCCCAAAACGCACACAGGTCTCCACACATCTCCACGCTGCACAAAGGCCCCAGTTCGTTCTTCCAGGGCCCGCCAAAACGCAGACAGGTCAGTGCATTCTTCCATGCCCCCATAAACGCACACAGGTCTCCACACTGCACAAAGTCCCACTTGGCTCTTCCAGGCCCCCAAAACGCACACAGGTCTCCACGCGGCACAACGGCCCCACTGCGTTCGTCCAGATCCACAATCTAAAGCTCCACTGTATCCTTCCAAACCCTCCAAAACATGCATAAACCCCATGGCGTTTTTCCAGGCCAGCAACACACACACGGGCTCCATAAAAGTGCAGTCTACAGTACTCTTCGTCATGTGTAGGTGTGGCTCTGTGCGTTTATGGTGCCTCGAGATAACGCACGACACGCTACAAAACCTCTTGCCCAACCCGCTTGATCCATGTAGCAAGAAGCGCGCCTGGCAAGAACCGCACTTGGGATGCACATGTCGGAACTGCGCTTTTGATGGTGGCGCGCTTGACAAAAAAACGCGCTGGTCAGCAACTAAGGCTGGGACTCGCATCGTTCTGCTTCCCGCAGCCGCATCGGGAGGTAGGGAAAGCCCCCGCAATTCATATAGCAAACAAAAAACGGTAGAATAATTTCCGACACTGATGACTCGAGCAACAAAATGTTCTGTAGCTGCTCCTGTGCCGTTTCACAGAAGTATCAAACTCGGAATCGGAAATTGCGCACGTTCGCACACCCTGATGTCGTTGGAACCAGCAACATCGGACCTGGCGGCGCACCACGCAAAGCTCAATTCCGAAAATCCTGATAAGTTGGAACGAATATCCGCCGATACCTATAAGCACGTCCATCACAAAAGTCACAAAAGAATGTTTATTGCAGAAACCGTATCATTCGGCAATATTTCTGCCACAACCATGGCTCACTGGAGAAGAAAAGCGGTTCGATATACGTGCGTGCACTTCTTCTGCAGTAAACCAAAGATGGGGGATGCCCAGCTTGCGACAGCAGTAGCGCTCTGGATGGCGAGGTGCATCTTCAAGGCGTGCTGATCACAAGCACGGGCGGCATGTCGTTTCCAGCCACGCACAAAGTCGGCAGCCTCCTTTGGAACTTCATCGGGCCTGGCGTCGGCACGGCGGCATACCAGGCGGGCAGGTCGCACCATTGCGCAGCGAGGTAGTCGGCAGCTTATGCAGCGGCGCTGACAGTAGGCCAAAACCGCAGAGCGAGCTGGGCGACACCTCAGCTGGCAGAGGATCTTCGGGCCAACAGGCGAAGCACACCGCAACGGCAGCGTCAAGGTCAGCTGCGAATTGAGCTGCGAGGCCTTGTGGCAGGTTACGCAGCAAGTAAGTAGTAGTTCGCCTGGGGGGCGGCAGCGCAGTGGTGCAGCGGCAGCTAGGCGGCCTGCAAGCTGAAACGTGGCGATCCTGCTTCGCCCGTCCCAGTGCTGGACCGTGTGCTCGACCTTGCAGAAGACGAAAGGCCCAGCCGCTTTGCCGCTGCGGCCCCGACCGGCGAAGCACCGGAATTTTCTTGCAGCCGCCAAAGTCCGTGAACAAAAATCGTTTAAGTGTTCTTCGCTGCCTCCACTTTCCAGGTGATCTTGGAACCGGTGGCTGTGCAACACGGAAAATGGTTGGCCGTCCTTCGAGTGAAACAAGGCTACCCAATGCATTAATGTAGCATCGGCGGCATGCCAGAGGGAAAAGGCCATTGCAGGCGATGCGCTGGGCATCTCGGCAACATAGCGAAACACGCGAACCTCTGCTAGAGGGGAAGTGCGCATAAGGCGAGCACACCGGACGTGGCACAAGCGGCACGGTGGTCACCGTACGTTTTCTCGTTCTCTCGACAGTGCGTAGGCCAGCTGAAAGATCAGCAGGTGTGTCTCATCATTCACAACATTCCGCCGGCAGCCTTGTCTGCTTGCGTCGACAACTAGATACTATGCTCGCCGCCGGCTTTGGTGAGGGGCACCGCATATTTCGACCGCCCGACATGGTCGAAGGCGCCTGCCGCATCGACAGTGACGAAGCTCGCGCTGGGAGATGTTAGCGCATTGTTAGCGCAGTCAAAGAGAACGAAACTTATCGAAGCTTGGACAACTGAGATGCCCAATGTTCTTCGGAGCTCAAATTGCTAGTCAGCATTAGTCAGCCTAGATTTTCGCGGGGTTGCTTTGTTGCTGACAGCCGCTGCCCATGCGATGCCATCAACATGGGCTGCTCTCAGGTGCGCAAAGTCAGTACCCGTCAGCGGGGAGACCGTTTCGTAGCAAAGTGCCGCCGTCTGGAGCTACAGTATGGCCCCGTACATACGCCAACGCGCCGCGCCGCCTGGAATCGGGCGATCTTACGGGCTTCGCTAGAGCCACTTCCGCGGAGATCCGCCGCCGGCGCGCGAGTGCATGGTCGCCATGTACAGGCATCCACCTCTGCTGGTTCGACGCCTTGCAGCTGACCTGCTGCCATCGTTGAAGGAGTCCCGATAAACGACGGCGTCCAGCGCAAGTTGAGACATTGACGACCTGGATCCGTAGCTCGTCGCTCTTGCGCTTCGAAGCCGTGCGGTGTTACCAGGCCGAAGGGCCACTGAGGTACAGGCCGAGAGCAGAGGTAGCCGAGCTCGCAGTCTTTTATAATGCAAAATGCCCACGATGACGATCCCCATTTTTGTGATGATGGTGATGCTGATGACAAAAGTGCATATGTTGAGGCACAGAATCCTCGGGCAGCCTCGACGACACACAAACAAAAAATAAAAACACCGCTGCACACGGGAGGTCTCAGGGAAGTGCGATCGCGCCAACTGACGCCCCCGGCAATCCAGCAATGTCCGACGACCGGACACACACTCCGCACCTGGAGGGGGCTCGGTCCTTCAACGATTGTCTACTTTCGACGTATACTATACAATTAAACAATGCACACAACACACCGGTAAAAGTCCGCTGAACAGTCAAATCTCATGCAGTCTCATAGCACTGTACAAGATTCGAACTCGGGGCCATCGCGGCTGCAAGCCTTCATGCATTGAGCTCGACATAGCCGCACCCGCTGCGCGGTGTGACGAGCCGTGCACCGGGCAATTTTCACACCATGAAGAAACGTGACCACGTGCCCATCCTGGCTGGGAGTCCGGAAAGATGAATGTTGTTTCCACGGCGTAAATGATACACGACGCAATCCGTGAGACGCCAACTCCATCAATTCTTCATGATATTGTGTGAGCACAATTCAACACTGCTGGCCGCAATGAGTGATTCCGGGACGATGCCTTCCCTGTGCGCTGACCATTTTCATGGCAGGTCTGGTGACTGATCGCATGTCAATATGCCGTTGCCGGCATGCTTCATCGCTGTTTGGCCAGCACCTTCACGTTGCCCGAACCTACCAGGGTGTGCAAAGGTTTGATCTCTCTTTGCAGAAGTCGGACCTCCTGCCTCAACGGTGGCCCTGCGCAGACATCAACTTTTCGAAGACTATGCCTGAAATGCTTTTACATCACGGACATCCTGGGGCCCAGAAAACTGCTTCTTTGCCAGGGTTGGGGCATCTTCCCAAAGCTCTTCCGCGCACCTCACGGCCTGCAGGCACAAGTGGATGGGTCTTCTGCACTCCACACGGTGAGATCGGTGCAAGCCTGCGTCAGCGTCACAGGGCGCTTGGGCTGCGGGTAGGGTTTCTCCGTAGAGTCCAAGCAATCCTGATCAAAGCTAGAAAACTGAAAATCCCTCTAAAGGCCGATCTACGCTCCTCCAGCTGCTCCCGCTCGTCCTCGCTCATGTCGCTCAGGTCTTTGCCCTGCACGTTTTTGTTTTTATCAACTCTCCGCGAGGCTTCACACTGGCCACAATCGGACCTGCATCAGACAGCCATGCTTCAAATTTCGAGTGTCTCAAGGCATTACGGCTTTATTCTAGACCTAAACGCTGCACGGGAGATGGGTCCATTCTGCGAACAGCGAATGACACATCCGGCTGTTCAAACACACGCTCTACCGCGACAAGCTTGAAAGTAGCATGCATGGGCTTATCATATCATCTGAACAATAGCTATCAAACTGACCACTGATTTGCTCCTCGTTGGGATGGGAGCGAGAGCTTCGTATCACCTCACACATTGAGAACAGCGCTTGTTGCTTCAAACTTGTGCCCACTTCAGCCGGGCGCCTCCAATAAGCAACCGTCCTCTTCGAAGTCAGAAGGCTCCTGTGTTACCTGGCGACGGAGCTTCAGGGCAATCGTGCATCATGGGCAGAACCCCGATTTCCCAGAGCTGCTTGGTGTCCAGGAATTCTAGCGAAACATGCAGAATTTTCTGGTGCTTCACACATGTCGCCGCCACCAAAAACTCTTCGTCCTCATCACGTCTAGAAGCCCCGGTTCAGCAGGCCTCTGCCTCAGGCACCCGGAGCCACTGGGCTCTGTCTGCGTTCCAGCCTGTCCTGGGACGGTTCCGGTTTAGTCCGGTTTTCACACGCTTCCAACAATCTCTTCGGTGACCCGTGTGCTCCCTGTGTTCTGTTGATTTGGATACAGTCCCTCCTGCATTGAGCGAATTTCTGCATTGGGGCGACACTCTATACGGCCATGTTCTTCTGAGCACCGTTTTCGTGAAGCTCGCTTGCTGCTTGTAAGACCGACCCTGTCGAAGGCAGCCCGGGGCACCGGCTTGCCACAGCTTTGGCCAACTGGATCAGGACGGCACGGAGGGAGTTCGGAGCAGACCTTGGGCGAGGGCAAAAACTTCCCGAGCTCTGATACCGCACATAACCAGAAGTTCAGAAGTGGGAGGCGTGCAGGGACAGGAGCAACCGGAGCCGCGACTTCTTTGTCGCCGTAAAGCCTGCGGTTTCGACTTTACTGTGTTACTGGGGTTCTTTTCCTCATTTCTGCTGTGATTGTGATTGTGTTCCTGTTGTCTTTGTACTTTTGTAGCGCTGGTGTCATGGTGAGTGTGACCTTTACTGTTTCTGCTACTGTCGCTGCCACGGTCATTGGCTCTGTTAATTGCTCTTGCCGTTGTAACTGCTGTCGTTCCTGATATTCGTGCTACCATTGTCATTGCTGATGATTTGATAATACAAGGTCAATACCGTTATCGCTAAGATTATTCAATTTGCCCTGACTGTTATGGTTGTCTTTTTGCGCTACTATCATTGCTTCTACTACCACCACAAACACCACCACTACTACTACTATGCCTCCTACTACTACCACCACTGCCAATACCACGACATCGACTCCGAGTGCCACCGGCACCACTACTACTACTACTACCACAACTGCTACTTCTACTGCTACTGCTACTGCTACTGAATGCTACTGCTACAGTACTGCTACTATGCTACTGCAACTGGTATTACTACTACCACCACTACCATCACCACTACTACTACCACTACCGGTACCACTAGTACTGCCACTGCCACTGCAACTACCACTACCACTACTACTACCACTACTACTACCACTACTACAACGGTGACCAATAAGACAATACTATCAAGTATTAGCATTGCCAGTATAGGCGGCGGTGAAAGGCCGAACCGAC